ATGCCATTATTTCATCGATCACGAAGAACGTAATTCAGAAAGTGATTTAAGTTTTCAGTGAAACGTTATTCTCACGTCACTTACTATGTATATTACAGGAATAACGGGCACCTGCTTCCACTCTGTCAGTCAGCACTTGGAGAGACAGATCGCGAAACTGCTCGTGCGGATGACAGAATACATTCATTGTTATAATAAGAGTGGTAAACTGAACATGTTTTTAACAATGTAAATACTGGTACGATGACAGACGAATGACGATTGTAGATGATAATGAGGTACAAGATGTAGGTTTAGGCTTTTAAAACAGGCAATAATATTTATCTTCACACTTACGAAACGAATATTATCTTTATTGTACGTTTCTTGAACTGGTTATCATAATCTTACTTTTATCTGTATTGCGGCGGTCATTCAGCTTGTTACGATTTTGTTATTGATAAATCAGAGACAATGAATATTGGGGTGGGGCGGGGGTGGTGCTGGCTTCCCTCAACCCATCAGCTTCAGATGAAAACTACAAGTTGTTAAAGTATTTATTCATCCATGTCGCTGATTCTAAAAAAAAATCCCACGTAAGGGTGACATTTCACCCTGAAATACCACATTTACAACAATTGATAGTAATTTTTTAGAAGTCTTTTAATGTCGTTAAGTCTCGATTCTCGCGAGAACGGTAAGTGTCACGTGTCATTAATTAAAGATGGCGTCTGACATGGAACTGAAGGGAAGTGTAAAGTATAGATGATAAGTGTTGCGTAAAGAGTTAATTGGTAGTTTGGACTGTTGATTAGTTCCAACCCAATAAACCAATTATCAGGGGAGGTAATTAGGCCACCTACTGCTGGGAAATAGATCTTTAATATACTGTAAATAGCGAGAACTTTCAACGAGTAGAAAATTACTTTAGATTGGAATATCAGTCTTGCGTTCAGTACCCCGCTTGTAGAAGACAGTTTAAAGAAGAAATTTTTGATATACCTGACTTTCGTTCTGTATCTCTCTATGAAAAAGGTTTTTTTTCCAGAAAACAAATATCTAGCAGACTGCCATACATTATGTATGGTTTAAATCGCTTTTGCAACAGTTCTTACAGTCAGTTCAAAATATATGTTTATTGAAGCAAGTTATTGATCATTTTGTTAATTATTACAAGAATTCAAAAAGATTTCGGAAACTATCCAACATTATCCTACATCTTTTTAACGCAACTCTCTTTTTATCCTGGTTTCGAAGACGCGATGAGAGTGTTTCTTAGCCACTAAACACACCCGAATATGAATACAGTGATAAATGCACATGTAAAATGAATAATGCACGTGTTAACGAACATTACACTGTTACTGTCTATAATATTAAACAATACTTAGATTAATCATTCAGATAAAATCAGATATCTTAAATCTTGGAATATTTCACTTCATTTTTCTATTTTCAAACAATTTATGACAGAAAAGAAAAAGAGTACATTTTATATCTATACGAAACTAAAGCTTCCTAACTTGCTAGCAATTCGTGACACGATGACAGTTAGTCGCCATTGCTCTTAAATTTAGAAATTCGTCACCAATATTTATTTTCTTGATACTGAAGATACTACTACTAATACTAAAGTGTTATTATTTATAATATTTCTTATGTAAAATGTTGAAACCTTGTTTTTCAATAAACCAAATCACCACAAAAATGTGTTTCATTATTATTCTATCCATAAAATTCACTATGACTATGTAGTCAAATTGGAAGATATCTACTCAACGTTGCAGGGAATTCAAATCTATGTGGTCAGAATGATGATGGCTAAAAACGTTACTGATAACCGAGTTTATGTTCAGCTCAGCGTTATAGAAAATTTCTTGTAAAAATCAGAGTTCAGGCTATCAGAATGGAAGAATACTACAGATGCCCATATATATTATGACTACCCAACGTCACAGAGATCAAGTCTTGCAAAGATCTAAGTAAAGAGTGTCAGAACGGAAGATGACAACATACGTGCTATGTCAAGACATCTATGATGGCTACCAAACGTCACAGATAACTCTACTTGTAAAAATCTGAGTTGATGTAGCTAGAATGGAAGATGGTTACCAAACGTCATAGATAACATTTTTAGTAAATATCTGACTTGTTGTTGTAAGATTAAAAATGCAACATGGCTACGCAACGCCACAAAGTACTTTTCTTGACAAAATCTGAGTTTAGGGTGTGAGAATGGGGATGTAAAATTATGATTGAATAACGCGAGTGTTACACCGTACTTTGACAAGATTAATGAGTAAAAATTTACAAACTTCGTGTGTCAAATATTTTATAATGGATTGTACCGTCTTTATTTTCTCCAAATATTTTCAAATATTTTTTGACAAATAGAATGTTAAGATAAATAAGCCGTGACCTTGAGGGCTTCCTTCATTCTCTTACTAGACAAAAGGGACAACATTTATTTATTCTTGAAAACTTACTTAATGTTAGCCCGACAAATCTAGCTCTACCCGTTCATAGTAAAAGTGCCGATATCCTATCCGTATATCACGTACAAGGAACGGGTAGGACCAACTTTGTCTGACTAATTAAATACACGTACATGCATGTGATAATATAGTGGTACAGATCGCACCGGAAAATATAACACAATATATCATTAATATTTATCTTTATTAACGTCTTATTAAAAATCAAAGAAATGAATGAACAAGTTGAAGGCAAAGATGGAGTTGGTGCGAAGGCGACTGATCAAAACGTTCATATCGCGACAGTAACCAGTATTTCTTATAAGTTAAACATGAGATATTTTGAATTTTTGTCGGTGCAAACAGGTTGCCTAAATCCAACGATTATTTTCAGGATCTGTAATTTTTTAGGAGTACATGGAAATCCAGTTGCTCATAGCTTTTGTCGGTCGTAGGTATAAACTGAATCCTGTTTGTATTGTCCGTCTGTCCTCGTTCCTGACTTACAAACCACAAAATATTAACTCACAAGTTTCACTTTCAATTCTGATGAAAACGTTTAAACTTTCTGTAAGATGTCGTCATTTAAAATTTGAAAATCCCACGATTCTGAAATGGTTGAAGTAAAATTGATGCAAAAAGCAGATCGTTTTAAAAATATCACCTCAATTTTCAGTTAGTGAAACTAATTATAAAGCTATTGCTAGTCGCATGGTAGTCATTTCTAAACTATGTTAAATAATCAACAGTAAATTGGCGTTAATATGTTATTTACTCCCTTCTAATCATACGACTGTCTCACTCGATTCTTCACCGGAAAACGCGTGAAAATTAAGAAGCCGTTTAATTCTTTAAAGGAGGAGTACGTGCAACTTTTTAAAAAGGTTTATAAAACATGATGGTCCACTACTATACAACTTTTTCTCTCGATTTTGCCCTACTTTAACTTTCATTATCGGAATTGTCTTTCTTGTACGGATTATTTTTTTGGGGTTCCGTTTCGACTAAAATTGTTGGGCTAGTTTTTAAATAGATCCAATTTACCAAGGGTCTAAGGTCAATTATGAGTATAAACTTAAAAACAGGAACTGTGAATAAATCCTTATCCCAGTGTTCAACAATATGTGATTTTTGTAAATACAATTTTTATTTTTCCAATTGAGAGAGCAATCTTTGTCTTATGAACATCATTTAGTGGTAAATTTTTTAAGAACAGTCGGATTTTAAGATTTTCTCTATTATTATGAACTCTTCATTACGACTAGGTTATTACGAAGATTTCAAAATACGATTATCGGCAACCGGTTAAACGCGTCCCCACTGTACACCCTGCAAATTGGGGCACAATGCCACTTTAAGACGTCGTTTAATTTTTTTAACGTTTGAAAATATCCCACGTCTCGAGCTAGTTAGAGCAACGAGGATATCTATTACATCGTTTCAATCTTTCTTCACATCTGGTATAGCTTTAAAATCTTCCAAAACTTATCTTAATTCCGTTATCTAAACCGCCCACTATTCCTTCTCATTAACCAGACGCAAATTCATTGCATCAAAGTCAATGGGATGTTCAAAGGTCTGGATAACCGAGTCGTAACTCCGCCCACAGGGGTACTAGATTTTCGGCACTGGCAGGAAATTTTGGAATTCTCGAATTTCATTGGTTAAAATGGTTCCTGTCAGAATTTTTCTTCTCAAAGACATTTTGATGGAAGAAAATGTGCCAAAGAAAAGTAAAAGTTTTAATTTTAGTTGAACGAGAGCACTGATTACCAGTTTCTTGGTAGAGTTCTGAGAATTTTACAATTTTTGAGTAAAGTTATATTTTGGTGGAATTTTGCCTGATATCATGTGAATAGTTAGTGGTTCTATTAGTCGGATGAATCTGGTGTTGGACAATTTTCAAGAAGAAACTTATCTAAAGTACTACTGATTGAGTAGAATATCTTAAAGAAAGAGGTTTTGGAGTAAGATTTGGACAAGTTTTGAAGGCTGGAAGTGGTGACAGGTGAATTCAGGAGAAAGTTAAGAAACTGATAAAAACCAGACAACAATTTGGAGCGTTTACCGGTCAAGATGATGATGATGACGGATTATCGGAGTTGTAGATATGAACACACTCCGCCAGTGTTCAACTCCAACTCGTACAGCTCTCCAGATATGTCAGAGGCTCGTCAGATTATGGATATATCGTACTCACACCCCGGGGCTCGCGAGGAATATTTTGGACCCCCGACTGCGGCTTATCACAGAGCCTTCACACGTCAATACCCTGATGTATACGGGTACAGCAATCCTTCCACACAGCACCAACGTTTATTTACATCAAACAACGAACCAACACAAACTGATTTTAATAAGAGGAACTTCTCGCCCAAGAAGGAGAAGAGTTTTGTGGGTAAAGACGACAGGAAGACAACGGATGCCAAGGCAGCAAGTCCAGTGAAGGAGGAGAGCTGTAAAAATAACGCCGAAGATAAGTTGGAACTGAGAGATATGTGTTCACCGTCAAAATCAGAATTAGACGACGATGACTTGTATTCGGGAGATGACAGTGATGGGCATGTACCTCATGTTTTAGCCCCGGGGTACCATGGCCCTAATAGACGATGTTTATTGTGGGCATGCAAGGCTTGTAAGAAAAAGACTGTAACGATCGATCGTCGTAAGGCAGCGACCATGAGGGAACGCCGTCGGTTACGGAGAGTTAACGAAGCGTTTGAAGTTTTAAAAAGACGTACGTGTCCCAATCCGAATCAGAGACTACCCAAAGTTGAAATTTTACGAAATGCTATAGACTATATTGAAAGTTTGGAAGACTTATTACATGGTAATCGAGTCAACAGATCTGATGACGCCTCGTGTAATGAGTCAGGATCATCAAATAGCGGTTCAGATTATATGGTATGGTTTCTTTAATATCTGCATGGTTGCATGAGAATAATCCAAAGATCTATAACTCATTTTAAAACCCACCCACAATCAATCAAAATTTTCGATAAATTTTTAAAAATGTGGACGCAATTCCACTTTTGGGGGAGAGCCTCAGCGTAATGTTAAAATCAGAAACCAAACATGACTATTCATTGATACCATTTCATTCACCGATTTAAAAAAAAAAAAAACCTAGTCTAAACTAAACTCATGAGACTTTGGCATATTCGACGGCCACGTTTTTCGTGTATAGAGAATCTTGTGATTAAAATCGTTTTAGATTTCATTTTCATGGACATCAATATACAGAATAATAATAGATCGATAATTATAAAACGTATTAACCTGAGGGATAATGAGTTCGCGACATTCTGCTCAGTTACTTATTAGTTTAAGTTTCTCCCGAGGCTTAGTATATAGATGTTATACAAGAACGCCATGTTGTGATGCACGGATGTGAAATATTTAAGGAAGATTTATTTCGGTAGAACTTATTGTTTAAACTTGTTTATTATTCATTTTCATATCGTATTCTCAAACCTGATTGGGAATTGCGAAGACAATGTCCTCTGTCCTTAATATTTAACGGCTTGCTGCTTTATCGAAACGTCATGAAACCCTATCTCCTCTCCGACTTCTACTTCAAATAATTGAAAAAAAAAATACTGATCGGGGTTTGCATTTTGCCCCCTCTCTCTCTCTCCTTCTGCCTCTATAAGTCAACAGTGGCCCGGGTCACTGTTTTATTACGAGATCTTGAAAACCTTATCTCCTTTTCTGACCAATAATTTCAATTTAACTAACATCTGAACCTCATAAACCCAGATAAAACTAGAAATAAATATTTCTTATTTAAAGGGATATAGATGTAGATTACTTGTATTTCTTTACTAGTTGATAACTATGATATATTCTCAGTTCTTAGAACATAAACTCAGCTACCGAATCATTTTTCAAAATAAATATCTACTCCAGGTTCGTCTATAATTTATAAATTACTCAAATTTGAATGTTATAATGACGACTCGCCATTTCTTGAGAAATAGTACGTGAAAATTAGCTTGAGGTATTTTTGAAGGAAATATGCGATTTCTAGTACTTCTGAAGACTATTTACATATATTCAAGACCCAAATCAACCCCGGAAAATGTCAAATTTGTCCCCTTAAACAATTCAAAGAAATGTCATAGGCCTACGGATACAAAGAGCTGATAGCTATTATCAATTCTATCAATAATAAAGCAAATTTTTAGATGACTACATCTCTTCTAAGAAACCTTACTACTAGCCCACCATCGAATTTCGCTATATTTTCTTTTCATTACCATTTTGTATTTTTTGTATACAGCCCATCATGGAACCCACAACATGGCTCTCCTAATTATTTATCTTCTAACCAAAACAAAACTAAATACAAATCAACACAGTTTAGCCAAGTGAACATTTAAAGAGCGTAATGTTGTGAAATTCGGAGGACAATTTTTAATGAATTTATAAACATTTTACTAACTCAATTCACGTTTAATTGGAACTTGTAATAATTTAATTTGCGTCGTGCCACCCAATTTAAGTGGTATTCGTTTCAAATAAGACCAAGTTGATTTCGGTTCGATTGCCAGAAAAACCGGTAAAATAAACAGAGTAAAAATCCCATTTCCTCTTTAACATAATATACTCCTAACTTGTGAAATGTTTATTTTGGTATTTGAAAACTTCGTGGCAATTAACCGAGCTCCTATCAGCCGACGTTAAAAATATAGAAGTCAACTAAAAGGAAGCGAAACGAAACGAAACGAAGTTAGAATTGGGGCGTCGAATCGATTCCGTGAAATTAAGTCAAATTTTCAGGAACGAATATCGACTTTACATACGAGCCGAAAGAAAATCAAATCAAATGATTTTTTTTAAAGATTTAGTTCGAAGTTTACGTGTGGCCAAAAAAGAAAGAAAAGAAGTAAGAATTAGGGTGTAGAAGGAATTCCTTGTAATATAAGAACAAATAACCTAAAAAAACGAACAAATTCCCAATTTTAGCGAGCTACTGACTACCAAATTACAAGGACAGAAAAAGGAATTACTCAAGTTATTGAAATTTTACGAGTTTACTGAAATTAAACTAAATGTAAGCAGACGAATTAGGTGACGAGCGAATTTGATAATCAAATTACAAGGACAGGAAACGAATTAATCAAGTTATTGAAATTTTACGAGTTTACTGAAATGAAACGAATGGTAAGCAGACGAACTAGGCGACGGGAGGATTTTACAGGAAACGGGTTGCTCAAAATTTATGAATTTCTATAAAATGACTCGAATGAAACGAAATGCACGAAGAATATTTCGCGACGAGATGTTGTAATTAATAAAACAGTCTCGTATCTCGAGATTGAAGACAACCTGGTTTTAATTAAGACTTAATTATTTGAGAATATTCACGTAATTTCTCTTCATATGAAGTCCGTTAAATAATAATTTATTTCGTTTTATCTTTAAATTAAACATAAGAATTTTTATCATCCCGATAATTTTTATTACGATAAAACTGTAAACATTTTACACAAACGAACGGTTTTTCGGTTGAAGCGGAAGTTTTGAATTTTCATGCCATTAGAAATAGGAATGAATGTGCACGTAAATGAGGCATATCTTTTAACAGTAAAATACAGTCCTGGAATAGTATAATTTCGGATTTTTTCCTAAAAAAAAAAAAAAAAAAATCAAAAAAAAAATCCAATGACTGAAATGTGACTTTTTACCATTGAAAACATACATTTTAATTTTGCAAAGTCGTATCAGAAAAAATTGATGCTCAAAATTTTCTTCAAGTGAAATTTCAAATAATTAAGTTACAGGAGGTTATAGAATTTCCGTGCCTTATTTGAATAATATGTATACCCAGTGTGCAATGGGGAAAATTTTAACATGGTAATTCTTCACGAATCTATAATTTTGATACAGTATGTAGTGAACGCGACCTTGGTTTCAAAAACTGTTAAAAGGAGGCAATAAAAAGTCATATATTAATTTCATGGTTTTGCACTCAATTTTAAAAGTGGACCATTTGAAAAGCTAGGATGATAACTGGAGATCGTGTTTCCTCTAATTGAGGTATAACTACTTTATAGATATTTTCATCTTCATAAACTTACATGCGTAAAGTTAAGAGAACTTCAGATAAGATATAATTAGTCTTGAGACGGAAGCTTGAAAAAGTTAGTTAGTATACATAGATATCAGGTTCTCTCTAGAATATTTCACTTAGGATGTAAAACTCCAATTTCATTACAAACAAGGTCTAATAAAATTTATTGTTATAATATTAAAGCTTAGTTATTCATTCAATACAAATGATTACAGATGGGTTTCCTTGTTTTTTAGTTTCAAATTAAGCAAACTATTCGAATGGAGTATGTATTGTTAATCATATCATTATGTTCTTATTGCATATAATTAAGAGTTTTAACCAATCATAAATGTCCATGTATGTACAGTCTGGATAAACAAAAAGGACTTTAAGACCTTTCTTTATCGGTCAGTGGAATTCTCTCTTCTAATTTAGCTAATTATGAATTAATTATGGACATGTGAGACAAACTGGTATTTTTCCAAGTCATTAGAACACCTCTACTTTCTATTCATATAAGTTTTAGCATTTTCATTTTCATAAATAAAAATAAGGGAACCCATCTTTAACGTAGTCTCCATTTCATTTCAACAGCTTATAGACATACATATTAATTATTTTCAGCATCAGATTTATTTCAATATCAGTTCTCTGTGGAATATTTGAACAAGGACGCTAAATTTCAATTTATTTCAATTGAAGTTATCATAACTCCGTTTCGTTGCAATATGCAAAGGTTAATTCGTGAGACGTAGGCTAGAAAAAGTTAGTTAGTAATACCGGGATCTCTGTCGAATATCGAAGTTGGGGTAAAAAACTTCATTTTTAAAAAAGTATGAAATTAAATTCGAATTCATTTCATTATAACATTGAGTATATATAGAAATATTCAGGTTATAAGTAAAACTACAATTCATTTCAATAAAAGATATCTAATTTATTTCGATATAGAAATATTAAATTTCATTTCAATTTAATGGAATCTTTTAGAAGGACGTAAGACGCCATCTTATTTCAATTTATTGAACATTTAATTAGGACGAGAATCTCTAATCAATTTTAATTATTTTGAAGAACTTACTAAGAAGTCGTTACTAAGAAATTTATTCTAGATTCAAATTTTTCATCCCAGAGAGCCCAGAAAGCTAATGATATTAAGTCACACGATATATCAAATCTAAACAACAACAACAACACAGTAGTAAACTTAAAGACTCTAAACTTCCAAAATTGTTAATTCTTCGTTTTATATTTTCGTTCAAATTAACAGACCAGTTGAAAGATGCAAGTGGCATTAAATATAGTAAGACGTCGTTATCATTGATAAATATGTACAAAAAATGAGAAATATGCCGAAAATTATTCGAACTGAAGTGAAATTGAGTATATCCCACTTCCATGTGTTGAGTGAAAAGGCAAATATGAGAAGAAAAAAGAAACAGAGGGTTCAAGTCCTCAATAAATACAAAAACAGTCGTAAATTTCCTCTTTGTGTCTGTGAAATCGTTCAAAATATTTGAAATGACATGGAAATGGCGCCTGACTTGTGGTACTTGAGATATTTAGAAACTTTGTGAAATAATCTAGATGGTGATTTATCTTTGTCGCTTCTAAATTGATTTGATATTTATATTTATTAGTGTATTACCTCGACAGTAAAAATCTGAAAAATAGGCCCATACCGTAATTTCTTCCAAAACAAATGTATACTAACTTTAAACCCGTATCCGTTAGCCCAACCAGGCGCCGAGTAATATGCTGTCCATGT